TCCGACCATTTCTAAGTCCTTCCATGGCCATCCCCCTCCCCGCCCCGGGTCCAGTCACCCTAGTTTTCCGCCTGGGCTCGCTGCCTCAATCATCACCCCAAGTCTGTTCTCACGTGGCTGCCAGAGACGCCAATCAACCCCTGAGTTAGCTCAAGCCCCTCCCGTGGCTCAGGGTTAAAGCAGTCTTCACCTTGACCACAAGTCCCAGCAGGATATGCCCCCTTTGCTCCCTCTATGCCCCTACCTCCGGCCCACTCTCCTCGCTTACTCGGATCTAGCCATACTGGTCTCCTCACTGTTCCATAAACGGGCCAGGCTTGGCCTTACCTCAGGACCACAGGCTGCTCCCTCTGCCTGAAATCATCTTCCTCCAGCCAGCCCCCTGGCTTGGCCCCTTCAACTCTCTCCTATCTTTCTCAAGAGGCACCTTTCTCAGGGAGAAGATCTGTTTGCAACCTCCGGCCTATTTAAAACCACATCTACCCTTGCAGACCTCCTATGACCCCTGCCCCTCCATGTCTCCACAGACCTTACCTACCGGGCAAACTGTTATCTGTTCTGTCTGCCTTCCCAGTAGGTGAACTTGAGGGCAGAGATTTTGGTCCAGTTTTGTTCACTGCTGTTTCCCTAGTACCCAGAGCTGACACATGGTAGGTGCTCAACGAATACTTCTTGAGAATTTGAATAAATTAGTTGCTGAGGCGCCCAGCCTGGTTCAAGGTGCAAGGCAGTGGAGGAAAAAATCCAGGAAGGACAGGCAACTTGGCCCAGATCACACAGCAGGGATTTTAATGCAAGTGTTACCCATGCTCTTAATAACACTGGGTAACTACATACTGTTCCCCGACCCCCACTGCCCTCATGTCCAGCAATACTACCTCTAGGAATTGCTCTTACAGACATCCTGACACCTGTGCACAAGGATGCCCCCTGCCTGCCACACTGGCTATAATCCCAAGGCACAGGACACATCCGCATCACTGGGTAGCTGACTCCATCTATTATCATGTTTCCCAAATGGAGTAATATCTGACACTTATAGAGCACACACTCTGTGCCAGGTGCCCTTCCAGGCACTTTACAACATTTGCTGTTTATCTCCTGACTGCCCCGGCAGGTGGGCTCCCCTCTTATTCCCATGTTTCAGGTGAGGAAACTGAGGCAAAGACAGGTAGGCAACTTGGCCAAAGACAGTGAAGAAGAGGTGAAGCCAGGATTTGAACCCAGGCTGGCTCTCTGAAGGCAGCCATATTCATTCAAGGACATTCCTGACTACATCGCGTCACAGCACGAGGCCGGAGGCTAGTGTCCAAGGGGGCAGAGTTTGTTCATTTGTGTGTGTCCAAAAGAGGAGCTGATGGCTGTGCTCATGTTGGTACGGAATGACTGCTGATGTAGTGCTGATGAGGGGTGAGCAGAGGGGAAAGGTATACAGCATGTGGCTGCTGCTCTTTGAAAGAAAGGGCAAAGGCACTTGACACATCAGTCTGCAGAATCGCTCAGATTCGCCCAGAATCGCTCAGGGCTGGAAGCTGGTTAGAAGTGAGGGGGCAAGGGGCTGAGTTGGCAGAGCAAGCTCAATGACTTTTCACTTTGATGGTAGGTTTGTTGGGGGAGGGGAGAGCACTGAAGCAGATCAGGAGGGTCAAAGCCCTCTTCATAGCAGCATCCTTAGCATCCTCCCAGCTGCAGGCCGTGACTCAAGTGCTGGGATACAATTAGCATAGAAAAGAGAAGGAATATGGTAGAAAATGTTCTGGTCCACCATAGGGCATCAAAATAGTGCTTTGTGAAATGTTTTAAACTTACACAGTTGGTCTAAATAAAGGCTGTAAGTAGCCTCAAGTTAGTTCAGGTCAGAATCACATTCTACCAAGTGAGCTGCAAAAATAAAACAAAACTTTTTGGATTTCAGAACTGCAGACAAAGGGTTGTGGGTGTATGTGTGTGTCACTGTGAACCCATCTGTCCTTCCTTCTTTTTTTTTTTAGTGGATGTACTGGGGATTGAACCTGGGGCTTCAAACATGCTAAGCATGTGCTCTGCCACTGAGCTATCCCCACCCCACTCCTTTTTAAATCATTAATTGTGATATATAGTCAAAAAAGTGAAAGCTACCAGCAGAATGTTTCTGTAAGTATACTATACATTTGTAAATGTTTGGGTATTTGCAGCTGGAGTTGGAGGCAGGAGCCTAAGGGAGGAGAAAGGTATCTTTTGTGCTCCATGTGCTTTGTAACCTGGAGAGTACTTGCATTACCTTTTCAATGGAAAAAATAAAGACCTGAAGACGCAGTGGGTAGTACGACACAGGTGCTCAGGAATGGTGAGGTCAGCGATCATGAGGAGCCCGAGGTACCTATCCCAGACCACCTCTGACCCACTGTGGGACCCTGGGCAAGTGGCTCCCCTCTCTGGGCCTCAGTTTTCCTTTTTGGAGCACGGGGCTAAGGAGCCCCATCATATGAGAGTGTGAGGTCAGAGATGAGATTATGTGCATGGTCCAGGGGCAACAGTAGGCGCTGCACAAATGGTCATTCTCCTGCCCCCTGCCAAGGAGTGGTTGAGGACAGTCCCCCTCATGTCTACCTAGCTCTGATTTCTGGCCCCTGTGGATGGCCCTGTCCTTGTTCTCCTGGGTGGACAGTAGCCCAGAGAGGGCTGGCAGTAGCCAGGAGGACCCCCTCCTGGCTGTGGGGGTCATCTGGGTGAGAGGAAGGGCTGCAGAGGGCCTAGGATGCCCAGAGCTGGGGAAGAAGGTCTAGCCTGGGTTGGGGGCAGTCACCCAAAGAGCTGCAGGCGTCCGTTCTCCTTGGCAGGGCCCGCCAGAAGCAACAGGTCTGGGAGTTCCAGGGCTGGACTGGAGGCTGCCACCCCCATGGTGACTTTGTTGACAACTTCTCCTAACCGGGTCACCTGAGGCCAGGGGTCAGAGGTTAGAAGCAGAATAGATGGGGGATAGGGTTAGGGAAGGATCAGAGGTCAGGAATTTTGGTAGGGTTAAGGAGTCATGAGCCAAGTAAGTTAACCACCAAATCGGGGATCAGATATCATGGGGTCAAAGGTCAAGACTCAGATGGGTATGAAGTCAGGGAAATTGGACCGAGGGACTCAGCGACCAGGGTTCGTAGGGAAACTAAAGGTCTGGAGATATTGGTGGGTGGGGTCGGCCAGGAATCTCAGGAGCTGGGGGTTATAAGGGAGTGATCAGAAGTGGGGAGAGCAGAGGTTCCCAGAGTCAGGAGGTCAGGGGCTTCACACCTGCATGAAGTTGCTCTCAAAGATGGGGAAGTCTCGCAGCTGGTCGAACTCGCCGCTCAGGAGATGGAGTTGGAGCCGTCCCGGCCGGCCCTTGGGACAGGCTGGAACCAGAGCGCGTTCTACAGGGGTGGCGAAGTTCGCAGGTCTATTCCAAGGAGGATGGGTCGGGGCCCCATGATGATAGGGCCCGGGGCAGCCCCGCGCTGAGGATACGGGGTCCCGGGCTATCGGTCTCCATATCGCAGGCCCCATTCCTCATTCTCTCACCTGGTCCAACCCCTCCAGACCCGGCTCCGCCTCTCACCTGCCATCCCATCTGGTCCCGCCTCACCTGCTCCACCAGGGGCCGTCTTAGGCTCTTGATCACGTTTCATCGCAACGCCCGCCCCTTGGAGAGAGCGGAGGGAGGTGTCCAGGGAGAAAGCGGGAGGGTGGGGGCCGCAGGCTCTATGACGTCACAACGTAGAGCACCGGGTTCGATCGCGTCACCGAGGAGACGCCCGTAATTATGGCGTCACCCGAGGAGGCGGTGCCTGGAGGCCCCGAAGGCGCGGCTGCCTGCTGATGGCCGGCCCCAGTAGCTGGTGCGCAGACGCAAGGTGCCGGCGCAGGCGCACTGGCGACGGGCTGCGGGCCGTTCCTCCCGGCGTGCCCTGCAGCTACCGCCCCTTGCCTGGTGGGAAGGGGCCGAAATGGCCGTCGCTGGCGCTGGGCCTACTCAGCTGCTCCTGCTCCTGCTGATGGTGGCAGCAGTCCCCAGCCGGGCGCGGGACAGTAGTTGCCGGTCCGGGGCCGCTGTGCGGGGGGTGAGCTCTTATTCGCTTTGCACACAGGGCGGGGCCGAGGGAAATTGTGAGTCTCAGGCCTTTAGGTCTGTTAAGGTGGGAACGTGCTCAGGACCGAGAGAGAAGACGAGGGGAAAGAACCGGGGACAGCGAGGCTGCAAACCTGCGCGTGTTCGAGGTGGCATGGCTGCGAGAAATCGAGAGGCCAATTAGGAAGGCTTAGCTCGTGAATATGCATGAGAGGGCGGGGCTGGGTGTGGGATTTTTGGCACCTGGACATTCGGTGCGGGGAAAACGAGGCTGCCCCGAAGAAGGTTGGGGCAAGAACTCTTAACATTCAAGCGCTACGGATCCGCAGTCGTGAATATGCTTGAGGAGGTGTGGCCCGGATGGACTCGGCTAATCAGACGTCGGGGCGGCTAAAAAGAAAAAGGCAGGGGGCTCTCGAGAGAATAGAGGAGTTCTGCGTTCTGAATATGAATAAGGAGGGCGGGATCTTGCGCTCGCGGATTAGAATCTGGAACGAGGTTGTGCAGGCTTGAGGGCGTAGAGTAGAGGATGCAGAGGTAGGAGAAATTTGGAAAGCTGGAGAAAAGGAAGGCGTGGAATCTTGAATGTGCTTGATGGGGTGGAACTCGGGCGGCATTGTGGCTGTTGGGGCTGTTAAGGTGAAAACAAAGGCCCTTGGTTGTTACCTTGGGAAGGACGCTCAGGGTGCCCTTTAACTCATGAATATTTATGATGCTAGGCTTGAAAGTGACCTGGAGGTGTTGCCTTGGAAACAGGGTTCGGCTTGTTTGCAGGCTCTGGTTTTCTGGGGCTGGGCCAGATCATAAATTTTCATGAAATGGGCGGTTCTCCGGGGAGTTAGGGACTGGAGGGCAAGCGTCAGTATTTAAGTATGAAAATCAGGCTCCTTCCACTGCCTGCTCGGTCGATCGGTTGGTCTGTCCTGGGTCTGTGGGTCCTGCCCTGCAGAGGGCTCTGATCGTCCTTACGTGGGGCCCTCTCTATCACCTGCCCTGCAGGCTGGGACGGAAGGTCGAGAGGGCGAGAGCTGTGGCACCGTGGGGCTGCTGCTGGAGCACTCATTTGAGATTGGTGAGTCCAACAACATTCTCACCTGAACACGTACCAGGTGCCCCGTGGTCAGGAACTCGGGTCTGGGTGCCACCCAGTGTGAGACACGCCATCCGTTTACTTACAGCTTTGCACCTGGGAATGTGTGTGCATTTACACTGGGGAGGTGGTGGTAGAGGTGGGGAAGAGAATAGAAGCTCTGCCTTTGACTACTCCCACATCTGTAAGACAAATCCCAGCTTCAGGAAAGTCAACACAGCAGTAATAATCTCAGAGCACCAGTCGGCCTGTGCCCTGGGCTAGTAGTTAGGTGCTCTGTGTGTATTAACTCAAATATCCTTGCAGTAATCCTGCGAGGTAGCGGGTGCTAGGGATAGCCCCATTTTCCAGAATAGGAAACCAAGCTCAGAGGGACACCGGATGAGGTCCTTTTTCAAGTGAATGGTGGAGCTGGGACCCTCTCTAAAGCCCAGCTTAAACTGCCGCAATTTGGGTGTCCGGACTCCCAGGGCACAGATGTCAGTAGGGCCCAGAAGTTAATAATCTAGTCTGAGGCCCCAAACTCTGGGGCACTTGTTATAAATGCTGAAGCTGGGACTCTCTGCAGTCAGAACTTGGCATCTGCCCAGGAAAGCCCAGCTGATTTGGTTGGGAGCTCCTGAGATCTGTAGCCCCTGTATTCTGCAGCTGGGGAAACTGAGGCTCAGAGAGGTTATGTGAGCGACCCTGGGTCACCTGGCAAGGCAGAGGGGTAGGGCTCAGGAACTGTGGTGTTCAGGCACCTGCCCTGGGTTGCCCTGTGAGGCAGGAGGACTGGACATGATGGGGGGGCCTGGTTTTCAGGTGGGAAAATGGGGGCTCAGGCTAGGGAAGCCACCTAGTCATGGCAAGGGTTGAGGGGCGGAATGTCAGGAGGTCGCTGAGCCCAGGCCGCCCACAGATGACAGTGCCCACTTCCGGAAGCGGGGCTCGCTGCTCTGGAACCAGCAAGATGGTACCTTGTCTCTGTCGCAGCGGCAACTCAATGAGGAGGAGCGGGGCCGACTCCGGGTGAGGAGGGGACCCTGGGGTCCGACAGTGAGCTGGATCCAGACTTGGGGAAAGTGTCATCAGGACTTCACATCCTTGGGCTGGGCCCTGCTTTCCTTGTGGTGGCTTCTTCCCCAGGTGGGGCAGCCCAGTAGGAAGTCTTGGGCAGCCTTGGCTTGGCTGGGCCAGGGAGTCAGAGATGCTGGCTGGGTGAGACTGGGGTGGAAGGGGCCTGAGGGGGTCCAGGCCTGGTAGGGGCTGGGCTCTGTCCCTCTCACTGCCACCTCCTCTCTCTGCACTGCAGGATGTGGCAGCGCTGAATGGCCTGTACCGTGTCCGGGTCCCGCGGCGGCCTGGGGCCTCTGATGGCCCAGAAGCCGGAGGCTATGTCTCCTCCTTTGTCCCTGCGGTGAGTTAGTGACAAGGATGGTCCCCATCCTTGCTCTGCCCACCCGCTCCATCCCGGGTTCTACCATTTGGGCTCCAGCATTCGTGCCTCAGTGTTTATGGATGGGGAAGACTTGGACCTGGCCTTGCCCTCAAAGGTCTCCTGGGCTGAAGAGGGACAGTGCTGGTGGTGGGTGCTTTAATGGGGCAGTGCAGGGCCTCATGGGCCTTGGGGAGGCTGTTGCTCGTGCCTGAGGTTGGCAGGGAGCCTCGGAGGGCTTTGGAAAAGGCTTGGGGGTCCCAGTGTGGGCAAGGCCTGGGCAGCCGCCCCTGATGGCCCCTTTTCCTCTGACCCCCCTCCTTTCCTCCCCTTCTCCCCCAGTGCTCCCTGGTAGAGTCACACCTCTCGGACCAGCTGACCCTGCACGTGGATGTGGCCGGCAACGTGGTGGGCGTGTCAGTGGTGACGTACCCCGGGGGCTGCCGGGGCCATGAGGTGGAGGACGTGGACCTGGAGCTGTTCAACACCTCTGTGCAGCTGCAGCCGCCAGTCCCGGCCCCAGGGTGAGGAGAGGGTGCGGAGCCTGGGGCATAGCCTGCCCTACCCCAAGCTGGGCCAACCTTGCACTGCCTCTCAATGGCTAACTCTGGCCTTGCCCCTCCCCCTGCCTTTCTGGGCTGCTTTGAGTTCTCCTGGCCCCTCATCCTCATCCTCACCCATCTCCTTCTCCCACCCATCCCCAGTCCCGAGACAGCCGCCTTCATCGAGCGCATGGAGATGGAGCAGGCCCAGAAGGCCAAGAACCCCCAGGAGCAGAAGTCCTTTTTCGCCAAATATGTGAGTGGTGGTTTGCCCGCCCTCTTCCCGACAGGCTCTCCCTCCCACAACTCCCATCCTGACTTCCTGAGTGCCCCTCTGCCCCACGGCCCTTCTCTGGGCCTCCTGCATGTAGGGTCTCATCTGGGCCCTCTGCGCATGACCCCAGGCTAAGCCCAGGCCTAGACAGGGAAGGTGAGGACTGGAGCCCTGGGTCCCGCCCCTGCCTGTGGCAGCTCCTGGCGGTGGTCACAAGGGGTCCAGTCTCAGCAGACGGCTGGCCTGGAGCTGGGCAGTGGCATGAACCAGGGCAGGTGCAGCACAGGCAGTGTCATTCTCGAATGGAGGCCTGTTGGAAGAAGTACGGTGGTCAGGGCTCAGCTCTGGGAGGAGGATCTGCGGAAGAGAATGAGGCCTCAGCCAGGCTGGGGCTGTGAGGCTTGGGGCTGGGGGACAGATCAAGAACAGGGAGGTCTTCCCAAACAGGAAGGGGTGGGTGGGGTCCTCCAGGCAGGCCTGAGAGATGGGTAGAGGCATCCAGGAGGCTGGGAGCTGAGGAGAGGATGGCCCTGTGCTGTCAGAGCAGCTCTCGAGGCCTGGGGTCCTTGGAGCTGAGAGCACTGGAGCTGGAGGAGGCCAGTCCCCCCCAGGCAAGGGCAGGGAACAGTGGAAGCCAGTGCGGCTGGGGCCTCGGGGGCTCTGGGCCTCGGGTGCGAGGATGCTGAGCCCAACTGTGCTGAGTGCGAGTTCGAGGGCCATCAGTCCGTGTGCTGGTAGCTCCTGACGTCAGGATAGCTTACCAGCCAAGCTGCAGGGAAACTGAGGCCCAGAGAGGCCGAGAGCTCGCCTGCTCCCAGCTCTGCCCTCCCTGATGGCTGCAGAACGCCACATCTGCCACTGGCCCTGACCTGTGCCCCCTCCCTCCTCAGTGGCACCTCATCCTGGGGGGGGCCTGTTGCTCACAGCCCTGCGTCCTGCTGCCCCGGGGCCCACGCTGCAGCCACAGGAGGCCTGAGTGAGGACCGAGCCCCCTCCCGCCTCTGCCCTCCCCGCGCCTCACCAGCCCTCCCCAACCTGTAGTGCAGTAGGGGACCTGGGCCCCCTTTCCTCACGCGCCTCCCCTCACGCTGGCCCCCCTCCCCGCCAGGGGGACGCTGCTTATACTCACCTTTCTTCTCTCTGTCTGTCTGTCTCTCGTCTTCCACCATCCCGCCGGCTCACAGTGGATGTACATCATTCCCGTGGTCCTGTTCCTCATGATGTCTGGAGCACCAGATGCCGGGGGCCAGGGTGGGGGCGGGGGTGGTGGTGGTGGTGGGGGCAGTGGTCGGTGAGGGGCCCAGGGCCCATAAGTGCCCCATCTTCTTTCGCCCAGGAGACACCCTTCCCGCCCGGCAGGCCCGTGTCCTTGGTCATCCTGGGAAGAACTTTGACCGCCCCTCTAGTCTCCTCATCCCAGGAGGGTAGGTGGGCTCCCCACCCCCCCAGGAGTCCCTTCCCTCTGGACCTCGGCATTCCTGTCGGCAGAGGGGTGGCTGGATTCTGGGTCCTGCTGCATCCCTTCTGTGGCCCTGCTGTAGGTCCAGAGGCTTCCCTTTGCCACAAGATTGAGCCCAAGCTCCTAGTCCAGCTCTGACCTCGTGTCTAGTACCTGTTCCCCCAACAACCACCCCGCCCCAAGCCCCAAGCCCTACAGTTTGGGAACATGCCAGGTTCTCTCCAGCCTCTGTGCCTTTGTTTATGGTCTTACCGCCTTGACTGGCCCTGGCCAGGCTAGATGGTCCCCCTAACTTGTCTGACACTGGATTGGGATGCCCACCTCCTGTCTATCTGCCCTTTAGGGTACCCTGGGGCTCCTCGAAGCCCAGAGCCTGGCACAGAGCAGGGGTGGGCTGGTTGTGGGCGTCCCCTGCTCTGTTCCACTGCACAGCCTTGCCCCCTGCTCTGGCCTCTATCTGCTGAGTTTGAATAATTGCCATCAGGATGCCAGGCCTCTGGGCTTGAAGAAATGATGTTGAAAGTCAAAACAAAACAAACATTTAGTGGAATCAGGGGCCCTGATGATATAAATAGAACCCCTTCCGCCACCCAGATGTCTTCCCTAGGACCCTGCCAGGTCTTTGTTATTTATCTCCCCTCCTCCTCTTGCCTATTTAAAAACATTGACAGGATAATATATTAAAATAGACAGACGTTTTGGAAAGTTAAAACTTGCAGCAACCAAATGGCAGCCGTTGACTTGGCCGCAAGGTGGTCATGATATACAAGCTTTATTCCGTTGTTTGCTGCATGCATTAAACAAAAAAAGTGGCCACTGTGTTGTGTAGCAGTTTATTAAACTGCCCCCCAAATTTCAGCGTTCAGCTTGCTTCCTGCTTTATGTGGTTATAAATAGCCCGACAGCCGGTGGTGAGTGCTGTCGCCGACCTGTCTTTGGTGTGAGTTTCAATGGCTTCTTGGGGACGCCGGAGTAGAATGGGACCTAGAGATGTTTTTATGAACGGGCGAAACAGCGCAACTAGGTGCGCGGTGGAGTCTCGTCTCCCTGGTCACTCGATGGCTTTAATCCATTCACTTTCCCTCCTGGAGTGTCAGTGCGGGCAGCAGCAAGCAGGGAGGCGTATTCTTCGTAACGGAACTAGCGCCTTCCCAGTTGTGTGCCCTGACCCCGCACTTGCCGCTTTGCGCCTGCGCGGTGTGTTTTTGGCACTCGGTGCTTGTCATTGCCCGGAGAGTGGCCTCGTCCTTTGTGGGCCACCAGAAAGAGGCGTCGAGCTCCTTCAGCCAGTGCTCCGACAACGGACAGTGCGGTTCTCGCGAAGTGCACACGTGACCAAGTGGGGACCCAGGATCTCAGCGGCGCTGTTGGTATTTTCTGAGACCTGTTCTTGTCCTTTGCTGGATGGCAGCGTTTATGTTTTTGAATTCCTCTTGTGAGTCATCTGATGTGCTGAGACCTCAGTGTGCCCCCTCTGTCTTCGATGCCCTTGGACTGGGGTCCCTGGCAGCCCGGGGCCCAGGGCGGGGCTGGGGGGGGCTCAGAGCCCGCCCCCAGGGGCCAGCCCCGCCCCTCTGCGCCAAGTGTGTCTGAGTCCAGCAGCGACCCACCGATTCACATTTCCTTTGTGTTTTCTAGTGTGCCTGTTGTGCTGCACACCTGCCAGCATTGGGGTTTATTTTACCTGTTTTTTTTTCATTGTAGCTTCAAGACATTAAATGGTGTCCCCAGAGTCTCTGTAACTTGCATTTCTTTTTCCACCAGCAGGAGACAGTGCGCGCGGTGTTTTTCCTGTCTGCGGTCCAGTGAATTCTGTTGCTCTCTTTCCTAGATTACCCCAGAGGTGTTTACTGATGCTCTAATAGGCAGTGCTCATGGCTTGGCGCTCTCAACCTTTTGTCTAATTTGAAGATGTGGTCTCCCCTTAGTCATTTCCTTCACCATTTTGTTATGTTTTAGTGGCTTGAGATTTGAGGTCTTTATCTGATTACGTTCTTTTCTTCTTAGACTTTCTGGATGGCTCTCAAGCCGGTGGAATTACTCTGTGGTATCTCCTAGTCAATGTCTGAGCTAGTGCAGGCTCCCCTGGGCTCTGTCCTTAATAAACTTCTCTTTCAATTCTTGCCTGTCTCTGGAGAGCTCAGTCACTGTTTCTTTTTATTGACCAGGGTATCTGGGGATATAGCCCGAAACTCAGAGGATACCGTAGCATCTAAAGCCTTCTGCTCACTGCAGCCCGACACCTGTTCCCCTCACTGGGGGCAGCCTGAGTTCTGAGTCTTCTGCACATTGTTCTGGAGATACTCTAAATTAACTGACAGATGTGGATGTACATAATTTTTGCAAAAATATGTTGCCCTGGCTCCCCCCCTCTGCCCTGCCACCCGATACAAGTTGGAGAGGTTTCTGTCTCTTACACAGAGTGCATCCTCATTCCATGGCATGGCTGGCTTGGAGTGGGCTTCATTGGTCTCCTGTCAGTGGACCTTTGGTTGGTTTTGAGTGGTGCTGCAGGAATTCCCATATACCTGCATTATTTCACCCACGTGTGGCTGGGTCTGCAGGATGCACTACCAGATGGGGACTTGATGGGGGAGGGTCTCGGCCACCACCCAGCCACAATGGAGGTTTTAAACAGCCCCTCTTCACTGATGAGTCCCAAGCCCATCTCCAGCTCAGACTCCCCTCCAGGTCTCCTTCCCCAGGATGTGCCTCAGGGACCCCTGAGGAAGTTGGTGCCATCCATCTGCCCCCAGTTGGAGCTCCTCCAGGAATCCTTATTCCAGTGAGTGGTGCCGCCACCTGCCCAGCCTCACAGACTGGAGTGCTGGTCTGCCCTACCCCACCATTCCTCCCTGCCTTGTCCCTTGACTTCTGCCCTCTCCAGCCCTGGCTTTGTCCTCTCCCACCTGGACCATCAGCCCAGCCTCCGTGGCCTCCTGGCCTCCAGTGTTCCCCTCCAGTCCATCCCCCTCATGTGAGGCTTTCTGATGCCAGAGCTGCCCCCTCTTCTTCCCTGCTCACAAGTGCTCTCCCTGGCTCCCCAGTGCCCTGCGGATAGAGTCCCAGCTCCTCAGCCTGGCTTTTGAGGCCCTTTAGTTTCTGATCTACTCCTCTTCAGCCTCGGTAATTACCACCACCTAGCCTTAATGAATGATTCAGTTAGATACCACCAGGCCAGACTTCAGGCACCATTCTCTCCCCCTCCATCCCCGTACAGCCCCATCTCTCCTCTTTCTGCCATATTCCTTCCCTCTGTCTCCACTGAGCTCAGCCCTCATTCTCCTGTTCCCTCACCTCAGCCTCCTGACCTCAGGTCTAAGAAAGGAGATCACCTGCAAGGGAAATGCTCTGTGAAGGGGTTTCCCCACTCCTCAGTTCTCTGCCTCACCCCTCAGATCCCTTTTTTTGCCTCACAAAATGTCACCTGCTCCTTGGCACGGAGGAAACCCCCCTCTCGTAGCTTAGGGTTTCATATTGTCATTTGGGTGTAGTTAAAAGAGCTGTTTGGCAAGCAGTCTTTTAAAATATGTAAGGCTAATTTTAGTATTTTAAAAGAATCTTTATCCCTCCCCAAACTCTGTTGTAGCAGGTAGCTTCTGGAAACAATTGTAGACTTTTCTTTCTTTAGCCCATCAGAGAGACTCCAGGTGAGGATCAGGGCCTAGTAACTGGGGTCTCTCTAGCTGTGAGCCATTCACCTTTGCTTGCACCCCCCCTTCTATTCAGCACAGTCATTGCAGAGAAAACAAATTCAATCTGGCCTGATTCCTAGAAATAGGCTCCCAAGCAAATTTTGTAAACCAAACCCCACTCTCCTTTGTTTCGCCAAGCAGTCACAGGTACATTTCCATGGCAACACAGGAGAGAGCCCACCTACAGCATGACGAAAACATACACCAAGTCTGGAAATCTAAGTTGGCGAACGAAGGAGCTTGTTGAGTATGATGTTTATAGACTGGTTAGGAGTAAAACTTAATTTTTATAGAGTTTTGCAAAGGCTCCCTTTCCCCTCTCCCGACCTGCGGCCCCTCCCCCACCCCCAGGCACTATCCTTATTTGTCGGGACCATTCCCAGTTTGTAATAGAGCTGGGTTGCAGTTTTGTCCTTTGCCAGCAGGTGGCGATGGAAGAGTACACCCAGTCTGGGTGAATGGGCTCTCAGGTGGATACAGGGGAGGTCAGGCCTAGGTGGTCCCTCTCAGTGGAGAAAAGTGTCCAGCAGGGGGCACTGTCGGTCCTTTGGGAAGGTTGGGGTTCCTATGAAGCCTCTGTCCTAGCAGATGCTGGTCTTCAGGAACACTGGGCGCCTATTTTCTGTTCGTGAAGTGGGGGTCGGGTGAGGTCTTCCCAGCGCTGATGTGCTTCGTGCGGCCTGAGAAAGAGAAGATGGTGGAGGGTTGGGGAGGAGAATAGAGCAGAAAGGAGGTAGCCTCCTCACGAAGCTCGGACAGGAGTCCAGGGGTCAGCAGAGTCAAGAAGGAGCCAATTCCTGCTCAGCTGCAGGGTGGCCCATCCCGTCCTGGCCCTGCTACTTACATGCTGTGTGTCTTTAGGCAGCTAGCTCCCTGTCTGAGCTCGGTCCTCGTTTTCGCCTTCCTGGGCCTGGGGTAGGCCTGATCCCTCCAGACAGTGTCCAGAGTCCAGGACAGACAGAAAAGAGAGAGAAAATGGGTGTCACAAAAGTCCTTCCACCTCAGGGACTCTGGCTGGACTGTCCTGCCCTGGGACCCCCGGGTGGACTCCCCGGCCTCTCAGAACTTGGAAGCCTTGGTGCCTCTAGGGCAGGAGAGGGAAAGGGAGGCAGAGCAGGTGAGGAGCTCGGAGCTGGGGGTGAGGGTGCAGGGCCAGCGGGGGTGCTGGCAGGGGCCTCTCGAGACAGGAGAGAGAGAGAAGAGATAACAGATTCAGGGAGTAAGGAAAGGAAAGAGGGAGAGAGACTGAAAGGAGGTGGGAGGGGCTAGGAAAGAAACTGGGGAGAGGACGGGGAGGAGGGAGAAGAGGGATGAGAGGAAGGACAGGAGACTCAGAGAAGGGAGGAATGAGGAGAGAGAGAGATGGGAGAAAGAAAAAGAAGGAGGAGAGGAATGGGACAAGAAGGAGAGGGGAGACTGAGGGAGCGCAGAGGGGAGGAGTGCGAGGATGAGAAGACTGAGAAGAGGAAATGGAAAGGAGGAGTGCAGGTCAGAGGGGAGGAACCAGGAGAAAGGCCGAGATGGAGGGAGGAAAGGAAGAGGCTGATGGTGTGGAAGGAAGAGAGAAAAAGGGAGCGCGGGGTGGGGGTAGCGGAGCAAGTAGAAAAAAGGAAGGAGACAGGTGAGAAAACAAGATCGAGGAAATAGAGGGAAAGGGAGAGAGAAGAGGGGAGAAAGCCAGGGGCAGAGAGGCGCCGGAGGGGAGGACGGGAAGAGAAATGTGAGGGGGCCAAGTGGGGAGGGGAGTGAGCAGAGAAGAGGGTCCAATGCGGGAGTGAAGGGAAGGGGAGAGTGAGGACGGTGGACAGAGAGGAGACCAAATGGAGAGAAAAGGATGGAGGGAAGATGGCAAAAAGATGAGAAGTGTGTGTGTGCCTGTGAGAGAGAAAGAAGGAGGGAAAACAGGTGTGGGAGACAAGGGCTTGGAGAGAGGAAGAGAGACAAACTGAGGAGAGGAGAGAGAAGAGGATGGAGGAGGGAGGGGGAGGGAAGGGGAGAGAGAGGTGGAGACATGGAAGCGGGAAAGAAGGATCCCGCCAGGTCAGAGCACGCGCGTATGAACGAATGAACACACACACACACAGGCGGAGTCGAGGGGGAGGTTCAAGCAGAGGGGAGGATGGATGGAGGACCATGTGGCAGGAAGAAGGGAGAGGGGAACATGGAGGGGTGGAGGTGGAGTGGAAAGTGAGGCCAGATGAGGAGGGGGGAGGGCAGGGGTGGGTGGGCAGTGCCTCCTCAGATCCCAGCCCCACCTATGAGGACACCTCTCCCTCCTCAACGCCGGGCCGGCCACCCAAGGGCATTTGTGACCGAGGGAGAGAAAAGAGTGACAACTGGGAAAACAAAAGAGACAGGACAAAGCCAAAGGTGTGACAGAGGATGCAGCGGGGAAATAAAGGGGGAAGGGAAGGAACCGGGTGCGGAAAAGGAGAAGGGGGGAGAGGCAAGGAGAGAGAGAAACAGGGAGAGTGGGGCGAGAGAGAGACAGAGACAGGGAGAGACAGAAAGAGAGTCAGGGAGAGAGGAAGACAGAGACTAGGGAAGGGCAGGTTTGCCAACTCCCGAGGGAAAATGCGCCCCTTCCAAATCACAGGAAAATGTCCCCGCATCCCCAGTGAACCGCGAGCTGCAGACGGACAAACACGTGCAGCTGATGGTCCCAGGACCTGGCAGGACATGAAATGAATTTTGGAAACTGAACATTAATCACAGGACCGTTTGTTCCGAGGCAGGATAAAAATACCCCCCGCACGTGGAGACACCCGCCCCTGCCCTGCCGGTCATCAGAGGGGCCTCCCCGCCGCTGGGGGTGCTGGGGCGGGGATGATGGGGAGGGCAGGGGAGGGAGAGGCTGCAAACCAACCCCAGGCAAGGGAGCAGGTGGGGGAGGAAGAGACTCTGAGAGACAGAGAAATAGAGAGACAAAGAGAAGAGAGAAGCGGCGAGGCATGTGGGGGAGGTTGGCAGCCATCCCAGAGCAAAAGGGAGGGCGTGAGGCCGGGATGGGACGGCGGAGGGGGCCAGGAAGGGGGAGAGAAGATGGAGGGAGAGAGTGAGGAGTGAAAAAAGCCAATGGAAAGAGGACAGAGGGGAAAAAGAGTAAGAGTGAGGCTAGGAAGGGAAGGAAAAAGCGCCCCCCCTCCTGTGGGGGAGACTGGGAGGAACGGGAGGAGAGGCTGGTGTGAGAGGGTGGAGGGGGCAGGGTGGGGAGAGAGGAGAGGCGACAGCAGCCGGGGAAGGGGGTGCGGAGGGCAACCCCCAGAGCCAAGGGCCCGCCAAGCCTGGCTCGGGACTGGGGACTCCGTACCCAGTCCAGTCCCATTGGCACCTCACCGGGGACAGAGCCAGGAAGTGGGGCGGGACAAAGTCAGGAGGAAAAGCAGGCTTCCAGAGAGGGAGAGAACACAGGGCAGGGGAGTCGAGGTGACAAAGGACAGGAACATGGTTTTAAGGGAAAGAAACGGGGGAGGAACGTGTATGTGTGTGTGTATGTAATAAAGAGGAAGAAACATGAGGATCAGGGTGAGAGACAAGGGTGAGAGGAATAAAGACAACCTGTGAGCAGGTGGAAGTGAAGAGACAGACGGACAGAGGACAGAGAGATCAGGAGAGGAGGAGGAGGCAGGGGGGAAGGAGGAAGAAGAAGAGGGGAGGTAGAGAAGAGGGGAGGAGGAGCATTCCCACAAAGAGAGACTGAAAAGAAACGGGATGAAGAAGGTGTGAGCAAAGGAAACCAGACCATGGGGTGAGGGAAATGGGTGCAAGGACAGTGTGTGGCAGAGGAAGAGACGGGGCAGAGGCAGAGGAGCTGTGTGAGACGGAAGAGTAGAGGAGAGACAGAAACAAAAAGATGGAGAAAAAGATGCAGAAAGAATGAGATCCAGAGAATGGGAGGGAGGAGAGAGAGAACTAGTGAGAGAGACAGGCAGGGAAGAGAGATTCAGAAAGAGAGAGGGAGATGGAGAGAACGGGGGAGAGGGGGCTGAGGCTCAGGGAGGGAGGGAGACTCGGAGCCAAGTGGGGGCGATTCTCTTCCTGGTCTGAGCCTCAGTTTCCTCCACTGCTCCCTGGGCGGGGGTGTAGCAGGGAGCCGAGCGGGCTGGGAGGGGCCAAGAGGGCAACAACGCAGGACTGAAGAACAGCTGGAGGAAGAACCTGCGCCCCCTCCCGCGGGCACATGCTGCCTCCCAGCTTCCATTCTAGCACTTTCTATCCTACTTTCCCTCGTGGTCTCCTGTCCCCCTTCCCTCCCCCGCCCTAGGGAGTGGCTATTCTGATCCACATTTTTTCCCCCAACGAGGAAATCAAATTGGAGCCCAAATTGGTCATCATTTCAAGGTGAAGATGGTGAAGATACAGCAGTGGTGACTGAGATCGTCACTTAGACCCCTGGAACATTTTCCGCCTGGAAAATTTGGAGCTTCCACTGCTGAGAAGAAAGAGGAGGAAGAGAGGAGTGGGCAGAGGAGAACACAGGGTGTAAGGAGAGGCGCTGGTGTGTGGAAAGGGCCAGCACACCGTTGGTGCTAAATGAGTGTCCCTCCCCTTCCCTGGTGGAGAGCGCAGAGGGCAGTGGGGAGTGAAGAGGCGACAGAGAGGAAGGGAAAACGAGGAGAGTGGTGGGGGCTATGTTTATAAAAAGCCTGGCATACAGTTGGTGCTCAATAAATGCCCATTCCCTTCTTCAGGAGAGAGGAGCCAAGGCAGAATGGAAGGGAAGAAACCACCAAAGAGGAAAGCCAGGGAGGAAAGATAGCCTAGGAGAGAGGGCCGGGGTGGAAACTGCCAGGCATACAGTAGGCGCTCTTAAGTGCTAGTTCCCTTCCTGAGAGAAAAGATGGGCAGAGGAGGAGGGGCGAGGCGGAAACCCCAGCAGAGAGAATGACCAAGAGGAGGTGTGATGGAAGGATACAACACAGGGAAAGCAGTGGGCACAAAGTAGACAATAAATGACCGTACCCCTCCCTGGCAGCGAGCATAGAGGAAGCAGCCAGGAGGGAAGCCAGCCGAGCAGGGAAGAGAAGGGCAAGCTGAGCCTGGGAGGCAAGCAGTGACAGCTGATATGAGGAGTAGCACACAGCAGGTGCTTAATACATGCCTTTTTCCTCCCCCAGGGGGGAGCTGGCAGGGCAGAGAGGAAGGAGAAGAGCTGGAGGAGAGAAGGAGCCAGGAAGGAGAGAGGAAATGAGGAAGGGAGGGTGTGAATGCGGGTGAGGCACACAGCAGGTGCTCAGTAAATGTAAATTGTCCTCCTTGGAGGAGAGAGAACTGGAGGAAAAGGAAGACAGGCAAAAGGAAAGGAAGTTTGGTCTAGGGAGTCAAGTGCAAAGGAGGCGACAGAATGGGTGGAGCAGAAGAGAGGAAGTGACAGCAGAGGAGAGGACACACTGGGAGTAGGCGGTGCAGGCAAATCACGGGGCACACAGGAGGCACATAGTTACTGCTTGTTCCCTTCCCCAAAGAAGGCCCAGAGAACACAGGGAAGGAGAAACTGGCAGAATGAAAGGGGCAGGGAGAAACAGGCAAGGGGAGATGAGGTGGGATGTTGATTGCCCAGCACACAGTAGGCACTCAATAAATGCCCATTTTCTTCCCTGGCAGAGAACAGAAAGGTGGAGGACAGCAGAGACCACAGGTCAGTAGAGACGGGGGGGGGGAGGAGAAGAGAGGAGAGAAAGCACAAGCCATTGCTTGGCATACCATAGGTGCTCAATAAATGTGTGTTCCTTTCCTTGGCAGAGAGCCCAGAAAGATCAGGAGAGGACAGTGGAGAGACAGGGGAGAAGGAGGGTGTGGGGAAGGGGGAGAAGATGTGTAAACTGCTGGGCACACAGTAGGTGCTCAATATATGTCCACTTCCTCCCCTAGGAGGGAGCAGAGTCAGAAAGGACAGAAAATGAATAGGGAAGGAAGAAAGGAATTGGGAAAGAAGAATGCAATAGAGGAGACAGCGTCCATAAATTCCCTAGCACGCAATAGGTGTTCAATAAATGCCCACTTCTTTCCAGGAGAGACCAGGCGGAGCAGCAAGAAGTAAAAGGAAACAGGAAGGGACTGGAGAGCAGAAAGAGTATAAGGTGCAGAAACAGTGTATGGAAATTGCCTGACAAACACCAGGAACTTAATAAATGCCCCCTTCCAAGGAGGGGAGCCAGAAGTGTGGGAAGAACAAGCAGAGGGCACAAAGGGAGGGGGGAGACAAGAGAGCGTCAGGAGGGGTTCAGAGACATTTCAGGTACATACAGCAGGTGCTCTGTAAATGCCTGCCCCCTTCCCCAGCAGAGCAGAAAGCAGGCTGGGAGCCGGCAGAGACCCGGGAAGGGAGGCCAGAAGGAGGAGGGTGAGGGAGGCAGGCGGGGGAGTCTGAGGGGAGAGGTAGCCGCCCGGCTTTCGGTGGCCGCCCCTCCCCCCGGACCTAGCCCATCCCCCAGCCGCCCCGTTGGAGCCAGGACAAGGGCCCCTTGTCCCGGGCCTGGCACAGCCTGGCAGGAGGGGGAGGGGGCTGCCCAGCCCTGTCGGCTGTGCCTGGGGGGATGCGGGCACTGCCTAATCGCTTGTTTTTCAGCCTCCGAGTCTCTGTGTCTCTGCATCTCTCTATCTCAGAGGTTACTCCCCCGTCCCCCAACTCACTATCTGGGGCCTGCTGTCCCACTGGCTCTCCCGCCTGAGTCCATGCCCCCCACCCGACCCTACGCCATCCCAGTCTGTCTTTCTGTTTCTCTGCCACTGAGTCCCTGTCTCTTGCTGTCTCTGGATCTCCCTCTGCGTCCATTTCTCTGTCTTTCTACCCCATCTGTCTGTCTATCAGCCTCTGTTTCTTGTCCTCTCTGGGAGGGAGGAACCCCGACGCTGACCCCAGCCCCAGGTTTCCGACCCCCACCCAGCCGGGACCAGGGCGGGGATGCCGAGCTCAGAGGCAGAGGGGTGAGGAGGGAAAGGAGGCAAGAGGAGCAGAAGGGTCAGGACAGAAACAGCTTTATTCAGCAGAAACTGCAGCTGAGGGCCTGGTGGCCTCCGTCCAGGGAGCTGGAGGGGTCGGGTCAGAGATGGGGAGAAGGCGTGCGGGAGAGAGACAGAGAGAAAGTTAGGGAGAGAGAGGGAGAGACAGAGACAGGACAGGGAGAGATTGAGAGAGACCAAGAGAGAAGTAGGGGGAGAGACAGACCCAGAGACACGGGAGAAGGGAGAGGGTGGAAGGATTAGAGATGGAGAGAGAGATAGGGAGGGAGAGAGGGAATAAGGGAGGGAGAAATGGAAAGAAAGAGACAGGGAGAGAGAGAGACAGTGAGAGAGGGGGGGGAAAGACACAGAGAGATGAGAGAAATGATGGAAGAACAGAGAGAGGAAGAAGGAGGAACAGAGGCAGAGTTAGCAACGGGACAGGAGAAATGGACAGCAGAAGGGTCTGGGATGGGAAGAGACAGAGAAAGAGAGAGAGGGAGGGGGAGGGGGAGAGAGAGAGGAGGAGAGAGAGGAGAGAGAGGAGG